TTTTTTTTTTTCCTAATGATACTTATTCTGCTAGCATAAATGTAAAATTAATGATACTCTTGAGAGAACTTTTATTGCTAGGACTGTTACAGTAAGGTTACTGATCTTGCAAATAAAAATTAATAGTTGAAAACTGCATTTCTAGGAAATTATAAATGGTATATTGCCATTTTACGTACTAAATATAAGCTGCCTCAAGTCATCATATTTAATTTGCTAAGTGCTTTAGACTGAAGACTACAAAAAATGAAAGCACTAAAAAACAAAACAAAACAGATAAATGGAAAAATGTAACTGTGGCAATGCTCACTATTTCCTGAACAGTGACACACTACCAAGAATGGATAAAGTGTTTGCATAAGTAGTCTAAGGACTGCTTGTGCTGAAACCCACACAATATTACTGAATATGGTAGAAGCTACATTTCATTAGCCTTCCATCTTCATAATAATCTTTCCAAACAAGACTTTTCCAAGTTAATGCATCCAATAGTGTATCTTACTTATTCAAAATTATTCTTGCTAATAAAAGTGGCAGATAATAATCCTAACAAGGTTAATTAAACTACCAATAACAAACACAGTGTATAAGAAAATGGATTTCAGTTGATGGAGAGCCTATTTACAACTGCAGTTTTTCTGCAGTGTTTTATGATACAGCTTTAGTTAGCATGTCCAATTGCTGAAACATTTGATTAAAGTAAAATATTACCTCAGTAACATATTGCCTTTAAGAAGTCATAATATTTTTTTTTTAATTCTGAACACTATGTTATAAACATGAACTAATTTTTATAATGTAATTTAGTTATGATCGCATTATTGCCTCAGCTAGAGAATGATCATTCTTGTCTTCTCAAATTACCACTTATAAATGCTAAGGATATTTTTTCTTCTGTCACAAAATTCAGTGGTGTATACTGAAATTGTTTTACACATCAAAAGAGGAAGAAGTATTCATTAAATATACCTTGATATGGAGCACTAAATCCACGGTATCGGTGATTGCTGTCTGTAACAAAATGCAGTCGGAGCCAGTTTTTGCTGCTGATAATTGGAGGTGGTATATTCATTCCAGATAACCTGAATTATAAAAGACAACCAGAGAAAAGTTTAAACAGCTTTTCAGTGGTAAACTTTGTCATTGAATTGGGACCAAACAAATGTCTATGTGCATACAATACTGATGATTTTGAATTGTAAACTGCTTAAGCACAAATGAAATAATTATTCTATGCACAGAAAAGATAGTCAGAGAATAGTGCAATACGAGGAATGCTATTCCAATCAAGATGCATATATTAATAAAGTCAAGTGGAAAATACCATATGATTTATGATATATCCAAGTGTATTGCTTTGATAATAATAAATATCATTGGTGTTGAGCTGATATTATTGGTCATTGTGCGCTCCATGTGTATAGTGATATAGTTACAAAAAAGAGAGGCCTCAAAGCAAAAGTATGTTTATTTTCTATGTGTGTTAGAAGGAGCTCTGGTGGTGTAGTGAACAAAAGGTCAATGGTTTGAACCCACCAGCTTGCTTCACAGAAGAAAGATGAGAGAGACCACTTCGGTAAAGATTTATAACCTTAGAAAACCATTGGGATCTCTATGAGTTAGAATCTACTCAATGGCAGTGAGTTTGATTTTGGTATATATGTGTCAGAATGAGATTGCAATTATTTTCTTGTACTTCTTGCTATCCATACATAGAGTCTGTAAAAGTCAGAACCAACTCGAGGGTACTTAAAACAACAAAAACAACCTGGCCCTGATATTAATCATTACTAATAGGTGAAGTAACTTCCTTGCTCTGTGATCTTATGGAGATTTCCAGCAATTTATACACTTTCATCCAAAAATGAATGAGGTGATTTCCTCGTATATCTTATCATTTAAATCTCAGAATTTGAAACTAATTTCAATCATCAAACAACATTTATTTAAAGTCTTATTGATAACTTATTCTTACTTACATAAAATTGTATTTTACCAGAGACTACATACCTTTAATACATTTTTTCAATTATATCCTTTTTTCAAAAGAAAAAGAATTAAAGAACAAACAAATCAGTGATCAATTATTTTATGAATTATTCCAAAATCTACTAGAAATATGGTATATACAGAAATCCACTAAATACACAGCTTGAGTTATTCAAGAGAATTATATCATTATATTCTATACATGTGATATTGTTGTTGTTCTTGTTGTTATGTGCTGTCGAGTCAGACCCAATTCATAGCAACCCCTCTTTGGGTTTCCGAGACAATATCACTACGGAAGTAGATTGCCCCATCTTCCTTCTGAGGAGTGGCTGGTGGGTTTGAACCGCCAGCCTTCTGTTTAGCAGTCAAATGTCTTAGGCACTACGCTACCAGAGCTCCCAGACATGTGATAGAAGGCAAAATTAGAAGATTTTCAAAACCAACATATTATATAATGAAAGTGTGCTTTACCCTAAAAATTTCCAAAAAAACAGT